AAAAATAAATAACATTTAGTAACATTATGGTTAGCAGGGTGTGTGTGTGTGTGTGTGTTTTAAGAAATCCTTTCCTGTCCTAAAGCCGTAAGGATATTTTCCTATGTTGTCTTTTAAAAGCTACAGTTTTGTCTTTTATATTTAATCTTCAAATCTATTTAGGAGTGCCTGGCTGGCTCAGTCAGAAGAGCATGGGACTCTTGACCTTGGGGTTGTGAGTTCAAGCCCCACAAGGGATGTACAGATCACCTAAATAAATAAAAAACTTAAAAAAATGTGGTGCGCCTAACTGAAATTGATGTTATCTAAAAGGTGATGGAAGGGTCTCTTTCTTTTTTATTTTTCTGTATGGATTCTCAATTATCCAAATACTTTTGGGACTTTTGGGAAAGTCCATCACAGATCCAGCTTCCAACACAGATCAGGTTTCTTTGGACATGCAGGTCTGGTCCTTGACCACTCAACCAGTGTTGGTCTCAGTGGCACAGCACCTGAATTACTAAAACTTTATATTAACTTTTATCCTTGGCAAGGCAAGCCCCTACCCCTAGCCATGTAGTTCTTTTTCTTCAAGAGTGTGTTGGCTTTCTTGGTCTTTGTTTTTCCACAGATGTTTTAGAATTGGCTTGTCAAGTTTGACACACACAGAAAGAATTTTGCCGAAATACCATTCAATCTATAGATGAATCTGGAAGAACTGACATCTTTATAATAGTGAATTTGTTGATACACACAATCATTTCTCCTATTTAGGTTTCTTTTAACGTCTCTCAACATTTATGGCTGTCTCCATAAAAGTCATATTAGATTAGAATTATTTTTTCCTTGGATAGTAGACCTTATCTGTAAAGTCATCTAGATCTGGTGTTTTCTTTGGGGGAGAGATTTCTTATTGCCAGTATAAATGATATTTTATCAATTCTGCTGTTGGCAGTAAACAACAAACGTGTTCTGCTTCTGTTGATAAAATATAATTAACTTTTGTATGTTGATCTTGTTTCCAGCAACCTTACTAAAGGTTCTTACTTGTTCTAACAATTTGTTGCAGCTTCTCCTGTATTTTTTTACAAATTTTTTAACGTTTATTTATTTTTGAAAGAGAGAGAGCATGAGCAGGGGAGGGGCAGAGAGAGAGGGTGACACAGAATCCAAAGGAGGCTCCAGGCTCTGAGCTGTCAGCACAGAGCCCGACATGGGGCTCGAACTCACAAACCATGAGGTCATAACCGGAGCCGAAGTCAGATGCTTACCTGCCTGAGGCACCCAGGTGCCCCCTCCTGTATTTTCTACATAGAAAAATCACGTGATCTGTAAATAGTGGCAGTTTTGTTTCTCCCTTCCTGAACCTTAAAACATTAATTCTATGTTTCTTACCATAGTGTACTGGCTAGGACCTTTGAGACTTCCAGTACAATATTAAATACAGGAGTCAAATGTAATATTTGCTGTAGGGTTTTGGAGAACTAGTTTATCAGTTAAGGAAACCTTTTTCTACTTTTCCAAGAGTTTGGATCATAACTGTATGTTGAATTTTATCAAATGCTTTTTCTACATCCATTTTGGTGGCCTTTTTTTTTTTTTTTT